AGGAAGAGTGTCATTTTGGCACACCAGAAGTATCGTAAAAAAGTTCTACAAACTCAAGACCCACCATAATAGTTGCTTCTAGAAAATAAACTACTTGTTTCTTTAATTCTTTCTAAATAGTTAACAAAGTCAGATTTATTTTACCCAATATCTCCAAATTGTCACAAAAATGTCAAATTCCATTCTAGAATGATTCAAGTTACTTGATCAAGTAATATTTCTTTTCTTTGCTTCTAATAAGTGCTTGGAATATTGGAGATGTACAGATACAGAAGAGCTTTTAACAAACCACCTAACATTACACAAAATAAAGAATTTACTGTGTAGGCCAGGTAGGGTGGCCCATGCCTGTAATCCTAGCATTCTGGGAGGCTGAGGCAAATGGATCCTAGAGCTCATGAGTTCGAGACCAGCTTGAGCAAGAGCAAGAACTTGTTTCTACTAAAAACAGAAAAACTAACCAGGTGTTGTGGCAGGTGCCTGAATCCCCAGCTACTTGGGAGGCTGAGGCAAGAGGATTGCTGGAGCCCAGGAGTTTGAAATTGCTGTGAACTATGACACCGTGGCACTCTACTGAGGGCGAGAGAGTGAGACTCTGTCTCAAAAAAAAAAAAAGAAAAGAAAAATGTTTTTTGCTGTGTAATCCACAGTTAGGAAAAATCTTGATTTCGAGTTAAAGGTACATATTCTATTTCTGTTAAATAGCAGGATACACCAGATACTGACATGATCCACACTTCAGGCAGATCTCTCTGGAGGCACTGATGTGTGGCAAACTTAGCCTTTCTTCTGAGAAGGTTTGGATAATTTGGTTATCACATGGAAACCAAGTTTAGGATTTTCAGCAGAATCACTTGAACAATTAAAAAACTTCTCCATTCTAAGCATATATTAGAAAAGAATTTAAATATTCCACACACACAATTTAAGTACTGAGTCATATGAAAAGAGGTCAGTGGTTGGAGAGAAGGGAAAATGCTTTTTTCCTGGTTGGTCACTTATTGAATTACTAACTAACCCTGCCATTAAGTGGCTACCATCCTACTCCACCATCTGGATTCTTTCTTCTTTTCCTTGAAAAGATAGTGAGAGGAGAGAAACGAAACTATTTGGACACTGCAGTGGGCTCTGTCTGCTGCCTATGCTGGCAGAGGCGGGACTGCAGCTGACAATGGGCTGATCTGAGCCACTCAGCTGTCCTGACCTGGGCTCACCAGTCTGCTAAACAGAGATCACTTCTGCCCTCTTC